CAATGAGAAAGATGACAGGTCAGAAAGAGAGAGGAAGTCACATGCATGGAGGAGAAATAGAGCAAGAAAAGGGGGCAGAGGGGAGAAATAGTGTGAGAGAGGTAGGGGGTAAGCAGAGGAAGCAAAGGTGTGATGAATGAGATAACCATCCCACAAGTTTCTTGCGGGCCTCCACTTGTGTACTGTATTGTTTGAGTTTTACTCTGTTGTAAGCCGCCCTGAGCCAGCCTAGGCCGGGAGGGCGGGGTAAAAATCTAATCAATCAATAAATAAAAACATTTCCTCTGTGGTAGCTGCCACCACAGCACAAGACTCTTCAGAAGTTTCACTGAAGATAAGCTTCAGCAGACATTTTGTGACTGGCTCCACCCTCTTGGGCAGCCATTTTGTTTGTTTATTTATTTATTTAATTGCTTTTCTATCCCGCCCTCCCCGCATGCGGGCTTAGGGCGGCTTACAAGACATAGGTGTAATACAACACCACAGTTACACAATTAAGGCACACAGTGCAATAAAATACAGTTAATACAATTTAAAACAATTAATTACAGTGGGCAACTCCCAGAAATCTACCGCGACTCACATACTCGCTCCCTATTGTACATCGCATTGAGTCAGAGAGGGGGATGCTATGGCCCCAATGTTCAAATGGCCAGTCAGCCTAACCCAGCGGTACTGCTTTGCAGTCGCCCGTTGGTGGCGGCGGCGGCTCCTATTCAAAAGCCTGGTGGAAGAGCTCCGTCTTACAGGCCCTGCGGAACTGTAACAGGTCCCACAGGGCCCTGATCTCCTCCGGGAGCTTGTTCCACCAGATAGGAGCCGCCACCGAAAAAGACCTGGCCCTTGTGGCAGCCAGCCTGGCCTCTTTAGGGCCTGGGGTCACTAGGCGGTGTTGTGACCCCGACTGAAGAGCTCTTTGGGGCCTGTATGGGGAAAGGTATGTTCCTGTATGGGGAAAGGTTTGTTCCTGTGTCCACACCAGGTCAGAATTCTAAATGCGCCCACAGGCTCAAAAAGGCTGGGGACCCCCCCTGCTCTAACCACCGCACCAGGCTGACTTTGTTAAAAGCTTGGGTAAAAAGAAACGGCCCCTGCGGGAGAGGAAGGCGGTCAGCGGGTGACCCTCAAGCGGAGGGTGTTTTAAAGGCTAGGTGCCAGCACTGAAGATGCCCTGTCTCTAGTCACTGCCTGCCTCGCCACCTCTACAGCTGGAGGCACAGAGAGCAGCATTTGGGAGGGCAGATTTCCCATCCTGTTTCGTCCTACGGCAAAGGAGATGGCCCTTCAGGGACCCTGGGCCCAAGGTATTTAGAGCCTCTTTGCTTCTCCTCTCTCTTTTCACATTATTTATAAAGCACCCAAAATTGTCATGCACGGCACAAAACTCTGACTTTCAGGGATTTCATACCCACTTCCCAGTCCCAGTCCCAGCTACTACAGCCAGGCAGCCACCATCTTTTTTTCTCTTCTTCTATCTGCTGTGCTATTAAGTTAGGCCACTCTAGTGACTGCGGAAAAGCTGAGGACAGGAGAAGCCCCGGTTGAGTTAAACTTCAGTTGTAACTCACACCCGAAGGACAGCGCCTTCTTTCTGAAAGTCACCGTTTCTTACCACATCAAAGACCAAATTAGACCCGATCCAGTTCTAATGGGGCGATGTCCCGGTTCCGGGGCCCCAGGATGTAACCCACACCCCTCAGGGACCCCAACTCACCCAGGAGACCCACAGACCAGGAACGCCTCGCAACGCCGGACCCCGTCAGTGCTGCCGTGGCACAGCAGCCTGGGCCAGCCCGACCGCGGAGCAAAGAGCCTCGAGGAGCAGCAGGAGAGGCCGGCAGTGCTCAGGAGAAGCTGACGGCGAATACGCGAACGCACGAGACCCCGCACGCTGGTAGAGTGGCCCCAGGCCAACAGGAGCGCTGCCGGCATAGCTCCAACCATACCCAGGCTGTAGGGACAGCGTCGGAGCTTATCCTAGGGGGCAGGGCGGGGAGGAATCACAGGGAGGCGGTGCTGGGAGAGGGAGCTGGGTACAAAGGAGACGCGAAGGGGCCAGGGAGGAAGGACATGCTCGGAACGACCTGACCAGGGAGGACGCTGAGAAGCCGATGCACGAAGGTAAGAGGGACCTACGGAGGGCCATTAAACTCTGTCCCCTACCCGTCTGAGGCCCCAACGCTCCCCCCTCTTCTTTAACAGGCATCAACTTCCAGAGCCGTCGGACCTCCCCCGCCTTGGGACGCCACGTCCACGGGATGTGCTACACCTGGAGCCCAGGGCGGGCTTGACAGGCGAGACTGACCCTCAAGCCTTACCTCTTCCACGTAGTCATAACCGACAGGATGCACATCGAGCGGTTCTCCCGGACTGTCCCCGTCGAGTGACGGCTGTTCTGCTGGGAGCCCCGCTTTGGGAGAGGCCCCTTTTGCTGTCACCTCCTGTTTCGCACCAGTCGCCAGCGGCTTGCTGACTCCTGAAATGGAACGAGGCAAAATCATTTTGAGGGAGGGGATCGGGAAGCAGCCTCCTTCCGGATAGCCAAACGGAGACGGCCCGCTCATTTCCACTCTCGGTGGTGGAAAGTGCTGTCCAGTCACAGCCGATTTACGGTGCCCCTTGTGGGGTTTTCAAGGCGAGAGACGTTCAGAGCAGTGCTCCCTCTAAGCTGAGTTAGTGTGAGCTCCGGCTCACATTTCGTCTTGGCTCGGGAAGGGGGGCGGTCGCACACGAAGGAAAAACATCGAGCCGCCTGAGGTGGTGCCGGTCAGCCGAGGACGCCAGCATACCCCGCCAGAAAGAAGAGAGAACATGCCGCCAACAAGGGTGTCGGTAGGGAAGTCCCCCCCCCTAAAAATCTGTGGCCCTAGGTAGGTTAACTACTGCAACTATACCAGTAGCAGTACATTGTAAACCGCTCTGAGACCCATTAGGGGTCATGGGCGGTATATAAATGCAATGTAAATAAATAAAATAAATAAATGGCTCCAGAGCAAACTAACGGATGTAGTAGCTCAATCGCTCGCTCACAACTTGAATGCCAGTAGCTCACAGAGTAGAATTTTTGCTCACAAGACCTCCACAGCTTAGAGGGAGCATTGGTTATAAACCGCCCTGAGCCCCATTGAGGAGAGAGCAATATAGAAATCAAATTAATAACAATAACAATAATAATAACTCACCTATACAGGGCCTCCCAACTACTGATGTTGTTTTAGAAACGAAGCAGAGAAGCAAGAGATGCGAATGCGGGTCCTTGGAGACCTGAAGCTCCCTGGCCCTGATCCATCTCTCTCTGTTTGGCCTACTCTGATTGGCAGGGGCCCTCAAGGATGCCAGGCACAGAAAGGTCTTTTCCAATACCCACAACCCATGATCCTTTCTGCCATGACTTCAGGGTCTCCCCCAAGGTGGTTCGGCGATGTGTTCTTTGCTGGTGTCACCTTGTTTGACCAGGAAACTAGACCTCCCAGTACAAAGAATACAAAATAGCTACAAACTGGGGGGGAAACCAGAATGCTGAACCCACTCAAGCACTCAGGTATATAAGCAAATACATTCAATTTTATACTCAGGCACTATAGCCAAAAATATACAAAAATACAAGGCATAATAGCCAGAGACTTCCTTAGCGTTGAAGCTCAGTGTCATATAGACAGGTCCAATATGAGAAATCTTCATGGAAATTGAGGGCTAGTCCCGTCATTAACTTTAGCAACCCCTGAGAAGAGGTGCTTTTAGAAATTAGAAAGGTGCAATTACAAACCAAGAAAAATCACAACATAGTATAAGTTGATTTGCTTCTGATGAAGTCTTGATAAGAAACGAAGTGAAAGCTGGCTGCTTTGTAATGGTTGTTCCACTGAGCATTATATCTGGCATTGTTCTCCTATTGTATCATTGAGATATTGTATGGTTCTGGCTATTATGCCTTGTATGTATTTTTGTATATTTTCGGCTATACTGCCTGAGTATAGACTGTATTTGCTTATATATCTGAGTGCTTGAGTGGGTTCACCATTCTGGTTTTCCCCCCAGTTTGTAGCTATTTTGTCACCTTGTTTGAGCCAGGGGACTTCTTAAGTTTCGGCAAGGCCTATTTCCCTCGAAGGAACTGATGAAGCAATTATGCCAAATTGCAGCTGAACCTTTCAAATGACGCTCAGTGGTGGTTGGGTTTTAACTTGGATTGTGTTTTGAGGTAGACGGCTTATTTTATTTGCCTTTCCAAAGAAAACTTAAGGCGATGTTGGCAATGAAGGACATTAAGAAGAGCCCTGCTGGATCGGGCCAGCGGTCTATCTAGCCCAGCGGCCGTTTCACACAGGGGCCAAACCAGCTGCCCTAAACGAACGGGGCACAGAGGCCCAGGCCTTTCCCCTGATACTGCCTCCTGGCACGGCCATTCAGAGGCTTCCTGCCTCTATACATTAACCAAACGCTACAGACAAAAGCAGCTTCTCTTCCAGAGTTCATACCTGTAAATGTCGACTTGGTTGCAACGACGGGTTTCTTTGCTGGCGTCGCCTTGTTCGAGCCAACTGTGCTGTTCGTTATCCCTGGAGCTTGTTTGGCCGGCGCGGCGGCATGGAGAGCTGGCTTGCTGGCTGAGCCGTTGGCTGGACCCGACGAGGAGTTGCTCACCACGGGCTCGATAGAAGGGATGGGCTTCCCCAGTTTTGTGTGCAGCTTGACCACCTGGAACACACCGGTGGGGTCATCCCCTTGGTGAAAAGGTGCAGTGCGGGACAGGCTCTCGGGCTTAATTTTAAAGACGGGAGCTGTACCAGGAACTGCCTTTTCAGGCAGCAAGAATACACAAAGAGGACGACAGGGTCTGTTTCAGGCAGCCAGCATTTCCCAGAGCAAACCCGCCTTCCGACGCCTGCTAGATAAACCCTCCACAATCAGTCTTGACTCTGGATCTGCTGGACTGCCATCTTCATTCACCCTTACCTTCTGGTGCTTGGCTCCTCGGATGTGGGCCGCGTAAGCGTCTGCTCCGGTGCAAGACACGTCACAGAGCTCACAATAGAGTTGGGTCTGGACCCCACGAGGGCCACCGCCGGCCTGGTTCCCCGTCTTCAACGCCACCTCCTTCTTTTTGTGCTTTTGCCCTTCTAAATGCTCCCGATAGGTCTGCCGGTGAGAAAGAGAGACTCGAGCAATGGCCGGTGGGGGAGATTTGTGTTCTGAAAGCTCTTCTTCATTTAGAACTCCCTGCACCCTAAGGGAACCATACCCCTTCCAGAGGTGGGACGATTATTGTCAGCCAGTATGCTGTGACAGTTAGAGGGCCAGACCAGGATCGGGCAGACCCAGCTTTGAAATCCTACCAGGCCACCAAGATCTGTGGGTAGCCTTGGACTGGGCACAGACAGCTTAACTAGTGAGGATGGGAATCATAGAGTGGGAAGGGACCTCCAGGGTCATCTAGTCCAACACCACCACCACCACCCCCACACAATGCAGGAAATTCACAAATACCTCCCCCCCCCCACACACACACAGAGTGAACCCTGCTCCATGTCCAGGAGATGACAAAAAAACCCTCCAGGATCTCCAGCCAAATTGGCCTGGAGAAAAATGGCTTCCTGACACCAAAGTGGCGATCGGCCTTTCCCTGGGCGTGTAAGAAAGGGCCACGAGAACTAAGGACCGAGGCAGCCCTCCCTGCCCTCCCTCTGCCGAAGAACATCGGGGCCCTGCAGGACCTCATACAATACCGCAGGGCCCGCAAGGCAGAGATGTCCCACCAGGCTTTCAGTTGAGGGCAGCAAGTGTTAAGACTGGCACCCTTTTCTCTCTCACAGCATCACAGCGTTGGAAGGGACCTCCGGGGTCATCTAGTAATGCAGGAAAATTCACAAATACCTCCCCCCCGCGCACACACACCCGCAGTGACCCCCCGTTCCACGGCTAGATGACAAAAAAACCCTCCAGGATCTCCAGCCAAACTGGCTGGGAGAAAAATCGCTTCCTGACCCCCAATGTGCACGTCCAGACCTCCTTGGAGGAAAGGCGGGAGCCAGAGCACCGGCCAAAGCGCCTGAAAGGCGTTCATCGGCAGAGGTGTGGGGGGCTGTTTGGGCCCCGGGGGGGGGGGGGTGTCCAGGAGCGCTCTGAACTGAGGGAGCTGCCTCAGACCACTGGTCAGGCCCGTAGCCACAGTAGGGTGTTTAGGGGCGGTGCCCCCTCACTTGTGGCCCATGTTCCACAACTCCCGCTGCCCCTGCCCACGCCTTTACCTGCTGGCCACACTCGTTTGCTTCTGCTGCCACAGGGGGAGGAGGAGAGCTGGACAGCCGGTGGAATTAACACTTGGCAAGTATGCCCTCTCTGCTACAGTAGTGGGTGGGCGAGGCCCGCCCCTACTATAGCACAGAGCGCATACTCGGTGAGTATTAATCACACTGGCCGGCCAGCTCTCCTTCTCCCATAGCGGCCGAGGCAACCGAGTGTGACCAGCAGGTAAGGAAAGACCCTTCTCCTCTTTGCCTGCCTGCTGATGGGATCTCTCTCTCTCCACCCCGCTCCCCCCTCCCCACCCACCCCAGATTTCCCAGTGCCCCACCACCCAAAATTTCCTAGCTGCACCCCTGTCATTGGTCCATCGAGATCAGCATCGTCTAGTCAGCCTGGCAGTGTCTCTGGCCTTTCACATCACTGACTACCTAAGTCCTTTCAACTGGAGACCCCAGGGATTAAACCCAGAACCTTCTGCATGTCGAGCAGAGGCTGTACCACTAAGCAGTGGCCCCTCCCGGGTTGCTTTTAACACAAGGACGCATTCAAAACAATGGTCTAGACCAGGGGTGTCAAACATGTGGCCCGGGGGCCGGATCAGGCCCGCGGGGGGTTTCTATCAGGCCCGCAGTGGAACTGGCTGTCTTCTTCTGCTTCTTCCAGTTCTGCTGCTGCTGTGTCATTGTAGGTCTGCAGCTTACAGATACACACCTGATCAGCATACTTAAGATTGCAACAGCACAGACATTTTGATGCAAGAATTCAGAGGAAGAGGTGTGTTATCAGACACTGTTAGATAAACAAAACATTGCAAGAGTGCTAATGTTTTAAGCACGTTTCTATTTTAAGTTTTAAAAAACCCCTTTGTGTTTGTGTCCTTTATAAAGTTTATATCTCCGCTACCTGGCATGACATTTTATGACACACCCGGCCCGGCCCGGCCCAACAAGGTCTCATTTATGTCAGATCCAAATCAGTTTGACACCCCTGGTTTGGACAAGCACACGGTTCAAAGGAGCTAAGGCAGGGAGGGCTCGGACACAACGGCTCACCTGGGGGCCGGCACAGCTGATCTTGCATATCTCACAGTAGTGAAGCTGAGGCTGTTTGGGAGGCCCTTTCAGCTTCAGCAGTCTGGGTGGAAATGGCGGCTTCTTGTTGTAGCCGCCGCTTGGGGCAGAGTTGCCACCGCCGCCACCACCACTCCACAGAGAGCCCTGCATAGGCTTCGGCGGCTGCGTCGGAGGAGGCTGCTGCTGCGTCGGCGGCGGCGGCTGTTGCAAGGGCTGCACGAGAGGCTGCTGGGCGGGCTGGTAGTAAGAAGTGTTGGCCGCCGTGTACCCAGCAGCTGCATCGTAGGTGGAGTAGTTTGACCCTGGAGAGATGGGGAGAGAACACACCACTCCCGTTTATGGCGTCTTCCCTCTTTCCAGCCGAGGCAGGTTAAGAGAAAAGGGGGGGGGGAGCAGCCCTTACCAGAGTAAGACACAGGAGAGGAGTTGTATGAGGAAGAGTTGTACGAGGAGGAGGAAGGGGTGTATGACTGGATGGAGGCGGCGGAGGCGTTCTGCTGGCCCGTCGTTGCCGCTGGGTATGTGCTGTAGGCGGACGATGGCGCGTTCACAGTCTGCACCGGCTTGATGGGGGTCACTTGCCTCTGGGGCTGGCTTTGGCCGTACATTGCGGTAGGCTGGCTGTAGGTGCTCTGGGAGTCTGGAAGGAGTGCAGAGAAAGGCTCATGCCGGGCACCGAGGCGGTGGGGGAAATGCCACAGAGGACGGAGCTGGAAAGCCTCCAGGGGCACAAAGGGGACCGACTTTAAATTCAGACGATCGGAGCAGGCCAACCAGACATTCGGGGGGCGGGGGGGGGGGGCCGGGCGGTAGCGTGATGTGATCTGCTGGGGAGTGTGTGTTTTAACAGCTCCCCACTGCAACCCCCTTCCCAGCGGATGGTGCTGCGTTCACCAGGGCATGAGTTAAAGCTGGGAGGTAACAGAGCTGAGTGGCAGATGGCAGGATTTGCAGCCGGAAGGCCACACACCCACTCCCACGGACCCTTTGTCCAGAAAGGCCAGAGACTGAACCTGGGGCATCCGGCCCTGTGAGGCAGTCCTCCTTCATTAAGGGGGTTAAGTTTAAACATTTGTATCCCAACTTCCCTCATGGATCAAAGCGGCTTATTTATTTATTTATTTCATTTATACCCCGCCCTCCCTGCACACAGGCTCAGGGTGGCTTACAAATCGCAAATTAAAACAGACCGGATAAAAACAAGCCTCCCCCCCACAATGAAAAAAAATGCCTCCAGTCCACATTTCCCTTAAAAGCCCTGGCAAATAAAACAGCCTTGCAGGGCCTCCTTAAAATTTCTAGAGATAACCCCCCCACACACACACACACACACACAGTGAGAGCTAAGCTAGAAAAGGCAGAGGCTTTGGTTGGTGCCGGAGTGGCTACCTTAAATGGGGGAACAGCAACAAATGGGGAACAGCGGGCGGCAGCCTGAGGATTATACTTGGTGCACAGGCATGTAAGGGCAGAAAATGGTCCTTTAGATTAAACTGTGGGATTCACTGCCGGTGGACGCAATGATGGCCCGAAGCATAAGATAGCTTTTAAAATGTGGTTAGATCACAGAGGAGACAAGTTAATCACTCGCTACCAGATACAATGAGTAAAGGGAACCTCCATATTCAGAGGCAGTCAACCTCTGAATACCAGTGCTAGGAGGCAACAAAGTAAGGCAACAGGTCTCTATGCGCTGTTTATCAGTCCTTCAGAGCAACTGGTTGACCACTGTACAGTACAGGATACAGGACTAGATGGACCACTGGGAGGATTCTTGTGGCACACGCATTACCTCCAAGACACAGTTCCCTCATTTGTACACACACACGTATCACTGAGTCACTTGAACAATGAATTGGGGACAAAATTGTCCACATGTCTCGGCTTCGCTGGCCAGCCCCACCTATGTGGAGACGGAGAAAGACAGAGGCCAGCGATAGCGACTGGTCCCTTCTAAAGCCCCGAGAGACTTCGGCGCACTTCCCGCATCCAGCGTTGACATTTGATCGTTCCCATGACAACAGAATGCACCTGCCTTTAACTGTTTTCTAGAGAACGCTTCGCTGCAACGAGGTTTACCTGGCATTACCAGATGTTGAGGCGCAGAGCCCTTATATGACCCGCTGCTAACAGCCACAAATGACAGAACTGAGCCAGCTGGGTTGGGAGAAAGAACCCAGGAGAGAGCTGCTGGGAAGGTGACTGCAGGTGGTTTTTGGTTTTTTGCCTTTCCTAAACTGCTAAACTAGTGGGGAGCAATAACTGAGGTTGCTTTGTGAGAGGACAGAGTCTGAGGGTGAGTGGGTGCTTGTAGCCTGCTGGAGAGTGGTGTTTTTGTCCAGGTCTGTTTGGGTCTTTTGTCTGGTCTGTTGCTCATTGAGCAAGGTCTGCTTGCCTGGGACTGATCACAGGCCCCGCCCTCTGCTGTTGGCTGCTGGGAGGTGGGGGCTGTGGGCCTCTGAACTGCAAGGCTCCTCCTGGGCAGAAGTGCAAGTCTAGGCAGAAGCACAAGGTGTGAGTCAAAGGGTTCTTGGCCTGTGGCCCTTAGCCTGCGAATCAGGCCTGAGGACCCTGCGTCACTCTAGATATCTTTAACCAGTTATGAAGACAGAAAGGCAGCCGCGGAATGGGAGCTATCCAGTATTTTGCAGAGACTGCCACGTGTACGATTATATACCTACTGGGTGGGAACCGTGGGGGTGTGCTCGCTGCACGGAGCTCGTGGCTCCCAAGGAGCAGACTCATTCCCTTGAGGCTAGAGTTGCCGACCTGGAGAAGGTGAGCCAGAGAGGTCATATAGAGCCAGTGGGTCATATAGAGAGGTTTGGGGAAGAGACCCTCAGGGACTCGCCAGAAGAGCCCCACTCCTGTGCTGACAGCTCTTCCACTGCTGTGGAGAGTGAGAGTCTCAAGGTCGGAGGGCATCAGTCTGATGTGATCCCTTACAAGGGACTCCTTCTTTGGGCAATAGATCGATATCCTCTTGTACCGAGAATACCCCTGGGGGGCTGGGGGAGGTGGGCTTCTGGTAGTGGGTGATTCAGTCATCACGAATATAGAGACTGGGGTCAGTGACAGGTGTTTTGACCACATGATGACTTGCCTGCCTGGTGTGAAGGCTGCAGACATCATGTGATGTCTGGATAGGCTGATACAGTGCTGGGGAGGAGTCAGCAGTCATGGTTCATGTTGGCACCAATGACATTAGGGAATGTAGTCATGTGATCCCGGAGGAAAAAATTAGGTTACCGGGTGGAAAGTTAAAGGCCAGGATCTCAAAGGCAGCATTCTCAGAAGTATTCGCCGGTTCCATGCGCAAGACTGCCTAGACGGGCACAGTCCAGGGGGGTCTCAATGAATGGATGAGAAAACGGTGCTGGGAGGAAGGGTTTGGATCTGTCAGGCACTGGGGAACTTTTTGGAAGAAGAAGAAAAGAAACGGACTTCACTTGAACCGAAATGGAACCGGGCTGCTGGCGATCAATATCAAAAAGGTGGCAGACGCAACTTTTAAGCTAATCCCAGGGGGAAAGCCGACAAGAGCTGGGGGGCCTCCGGTTCGAGACAAGTCAGTCCAAAGGGGTGACTGCGTAAACAGTCAGGGTAATATTGATAGGAGCGTAACAGAACTTGGTAGTGAGGGCAGGATGGCAACTGAGGGCCGAAGGAAGCGAGGGTTACTGGAGAGGGAAACACATTATGGGTGTCCATATGCCAGTGCTAGAAGCCGCCAAACCAAGATGGGGGAGCTGCTTGATGCTCAGAGACAATTTAGATATCGTGGATATCTCAGAAACATGGTGGAATGGGGAAGGTCTATGGGATACAGTCATTCTTTAGAGAGGGTGGGCACACCAATCTCCCTTGTGGGAGGGTGTTAGCTGACGGTCGGGACGTCCTGGTCGAGGTTTGGAAAAAGGCGGAAGAACTTCTCGGCTACAAAAATCCCTGCAGTGGATGTTTCCGGCCAGGCGGTGGCAGTGTGGCAATTTGACATATGGGTCCTGAAGCCTGGTCAACAAGCAGCCGTTCAGAAAATGACTGAGCCAAGCCAGAAGATGTTTACGCCGTGCAGTGACAGCGTGTGCAATTAAATGAATATATGTTGTCTTCCCTATCCCCTATGAACATTGTTAGTCCCCTGTCTAAAATGTGTAACTGTACATCGCTTTGAGCCCCCTGGGGAAAGCGATTAATACATTGATAGTATTATTATTATTATTATTATTATTATTATTATTATTATTATTATTCCTGGGTATAAGCTCTATAGGCAGGACAGGGAGGGATGGGTTGGGGGAGGTGTTGCGCTGTCCATCGGACAAGGCACAGAATCCAGTAAATTGGAAAACACTGGGGGAATTAACTCCCCAACACAAGCAATATGGGTGGAAATTCTGGGCCCTAAGGGTTACTTAAAAGTGGGGGTGTATCAGGGTGAATAAAACAAATCAATCATTGCTTTTTTAAAAAATCAAAAAAATCGGACTTTTTAATGATTTAAATTGGAATTTCTTTTAATAAAATGCTTTTTGAGGAAAAAATCTAAAGATAGTTTTCTATTTAAGATACATTATAGTCCAAAGGTTATTCATCATGAAATAAGGATTAGTTTTTTAAATATGTAGCATGAGGCTGTATAGTCATGCAATGTTTAAATTTCTTGGTAAATGAATTCCATTAATACAGTCACAATGTCAGGCTCTTCCAGAGGTTTTTGTAAGATTATTGGGCAGTTTTTCTATGTAGAATATATTATCACAAACACTTGGTTTTACACTTCTCAGAACTGTGAATTTGTGTCTGCAGAGATCACACGCCTTTTTTTCACAGCAAAAATGTTATAAAATAAACATACAGAGTTAAGAGACCTCAGTCCTATTGGCCCTCTCCAAATGTATGCACACAGAATCAACCCCTTATCTCTTAAGTGCTACGTTTCAAGAAGATCAAGAAGATTATTAGGGTGCAATAGGCTTGGATAAGGAGGGGGTGTTAAGAGCTAAGTGTGAGGAAGGAGCAAGCCGTACAAATGAAAGTAAAGCTTTTTGAGCAGAATACTCCAGAAATCTTGAGATTTTTGAGAGTGTATCCTCATGGATGTCTAAGCAAATGCAAGAATACATATGCTATATAATGTTATAGTTTTAGTTAAATAAAACAATTTAAATTATTATTATTATTATTCCAATATACAGCAGGAAAGTTGTCAAAATATGAATGATTAACTACTTATTAAATTGGAGATAGTTCACCTTGCAATTATTTCATCATTATCTATTTCAAGTGGTAAATAACCAGTCATTAATCTTCGGATATAACTAAAACTAACCTGAAAAGTTATTATACTGAAATGAAACCTTCATCTGAATTGCAAATATTAAGGCCAGCAAGAAGGAGCCTTCATATAGAAAACTATGATTTAAATCGAGTCTAACTGACTAATGATTTAAATCATAGCCACCCTGGGGTGTACTATTGCCCACCTGATCAAACCCCTGAGGACAATCTTGATATGGAGGAGAAAATAAGGGTGGTGACTAGAGCAGATGTTATTATGTTGGGAGACTTCAACTACTCTTGCATTGACTGGGTAAACATGTGCTTCCGTCATGTTGTACAAATGAGACTCCTAGACATCATAAATAACTGTGCACTGGAACAGCTGGTCACAGAGCCAACGAAAGGGGTGGTGATCTTGGACTTGGTTCTGAGCAAATCTCAAGAGCCAGTGAGAGATGGAGAGGTTGTTACACGGATTGGAAACAGTGACCACAACTTCTTCTCTATAACAGCTATAATTTCTGAGAGAGAACCGCAGGGCTTCCTGGATTCTCTCATCCTCCCAAAATGCAAGGTGGTCAAGAGTTTTCTGCTCCTTCCAAGCTACTCCCCTCACCCCAATCATCCTTCTCTAGTTGCCAACCTCCAGATGGCACCTGGAGATCTTCTGCTATTACAACTGATTCCCAGACGACCAAGATCAGTGCCCCCTGGAGAAAATGGCTGCTTTGGAAGATGGACTCTATGGCATTATACGGCCATAAAGTCCCTCTCCTCCCCAAACCCCGCCTTCTCCAGGTTCCACCCCCCAAATCTCCAGGTATTTCCCTGCCCAGAGCTGGCAACCCTATCCTTCTCACAGCTGACCAACAAGACTAGCCTCCCTGAGATATATATCTGCAATTCACTTGGCAACAAGTCACTTGCCAGCCAATCGCGTGTGGGCATGGATGGGTGAACATGGATGTTTGTTACAGACACTTCCTGAGGTTAGCAACATCTTTTCTTTTCTTTTTTGTAAATTTTGATTGCTTTTCCACTTATCTTCAACTACAAAGATAAAAAAGAGAAGATTGATTCTGTGCAAAAAGCAAAGACATTTTTGGAGAAGCACCAAACAGCGGCCAAAGAAAAAAGGAAAACAAGAGGACAACAATCAGATAGAAGAAAAGAGGTAACATGAACTGGAAAACAGTGGAAGCACTTCTGGCAGCTCATCAGACGATTCTGATTCGGGAAAAGGAGGAGCAGCTCCTAAAATCCTCAAAGTTAAACTGAGCTATGATAAAAGCAAACACAAGAGATAAAAAAAATACGATATGTAGTTTAACGCTGAAAGATTTATTTTTTTAATTTTTTATGTAAGAAACTATTTCTAATGGCTAATTATGCTTAAATTATTATGATTTTGCAGTAATTATAAACAATAACATTCCTCTTTTGTTTTGCTTATAATTGCGGGAAGACTAATACATTATCTATATGTATTATGATCCTTGCTTTAGCTTTATATTTTAGTTCTAGTTCCCCATATTTCCCCACCCTTTGTAGTCCATGTACTGAGGTTAGCAACATCTGTCACACCAATCACTGATGCCCTCACCACTTGCTGCCCAATGAGCTTTTCCCCTCCTCATGTTTCCAGGTGACAACAGCGGCGATCTCTCTGAATGTCAATGCACCTCAATGGAGTCCAGGCATCTCAATGGTACCACTATATCGCCAAACTGTTATAGCACTATAGTGCTCATCTTAGAACGTTCAAACACACACACCACCCCCCCGGAGCAAGGAAGATTGTGCGTGTGGCGGAAAAGGGCTGGGGGAAAAGTGGTGCTGTTTTAAATGACCATAGTGCTAAAGAGATGGCTCATTAAAGAGAGCCAGTTTGGTGTAGTGATTAAGTGTGGGGACTCTAATCTGGGTGAACCGGGTTTGATTCCCAACTCCTCCACTTGCAGCAGCTGGATGACCTTGGACAAGTCGTAGTTCTGTCAGAGCTGTTCTCTCAAGGAGAGTTCTGTCAAGACCTCTCTCAGCCCCACCTGCCTCACAGGGTGTCTGTTGTGGGGAGAGGAAGGGAGAGGAGTTTGTAAGCTGCTCTGAGACTCCAAGTGAATGGTGGGGTATAAATCCAATCTCTTCTCTTCTTCTTCATTAACGGAAGGAAATTAGCTGTATGAAACCCCCTTCCCTGTATTGCTTTACTCGAAACTGGGCCAACACCGAATAACATCCAGTTTAGAATGGTAATGTGATCGATCGCTATGTTCAGCCATAGCCAATGTGACACCAATTTTTATAAAGGGATCCACAGGGAAATCAGGACATTGCAGGTCAGTCAGCCTAACGTCTATCCTAGCTAAATTAGGAGAAACTGTAATTGAAGACAGAATTGTTACGCACATAGAGGGCCAAAGCCTGCTGAGGGGAAATCAGCATGGCTTCTGCAAAGGGAAATCCTGCCTCATCAACCTTTTGGAGTTCTTTGAGAAAGGGAAGAAGCATGCAGACAACAGTGAACATGTAGAGATTATATAACTGGACCTTCAAAAGGTTTTTGCCAAGGTGCCTCACCAAGAACTCCTGAGTAAACTTAGCAGTCATGGGATAAGAGGACGAGTTCTCTTATGGATTAAAAACTGGTTAAATGACAGGAAGGAAAAAGTAGGAATCAATGGACAGTTCTCACAGTGGAGGGAAGAAAGCAGTTGGGGTCCCACAAGGATCGGTATCTGGGCTGGTACTATTTCATTTGTTCATGAGTGATCTGGAACTTGGGGTGAGTAGCGTAGTGGCCAAGTTTGCAGATGACATGAAATTATTCAGGATGGTGAAAACCAAGGCTGACTGTGAAGAACTCCAAGAGGGACCTCCTCAAACTGGGTGAGTGGGTGACAAATGAAGTTCACTGTTGGTAAGTTTAAGGTGACGCACGTTGGGACAAAATATCCCAACTTCAAGTATAGGCGAACTAGAAATAAGGCCCGTTGTGGAAATAAATACAACGGGAGCTAGAAAGAGGCTCTGGGATAGTGCTCTGGCTTTGGGCAAACAGTGTCAGTCTGCTTTTAAAACATGAACCTGGGACCTACACACCACCAGAATACAGCAGGTTCCATATGCAACTGACATTCCAACTGCCTTGCGGGGGGGGGGGAGTTTGAGGTGCGGAATGGACTGAAGTCCAATCAGCTTCCATATGCAAAAGACCAGGTTGTCGCAGCAGTTGTGGTGTGGGCGGGACCCGGGCTTTGCCTTCTGATTGGTGGCGATATATGCTGAGGAGCAGTGCCATCAGCCATACACTAAGGGAGTGCATTTTAGAATTAGAACTTTGGCACCCACTATTCAATTATATATAAGGAGAGATGGGGGTCTGAACTTGCTGAGATTGAGAAGGGAAAAGATCATGGGGTCGTAGTGGACAGCTCAATGAAAGTCTCAACCCACTGTGCTGTAGTGGTGAAAAGGGCAAAGTCTATGTTACGGATTATTAGGAAAGGGATTGAGAATAAAACGGCCAATATTGTAATGCCCCTGTATAGATCTATGGCATGGCCTCATTTGGAATACTGTGTACAGTTTTGGTCGCCATATCTCCAAAGGGACATTGCAAAGCTGGAAGAAGTACAGAAGAGGGCAACCAAGATGATTAGGGGGTTGGAGCCCCTTCCCTAGGAGGGAAAGCTGAAGAGTTTGGGACTTTTCAAGTTTAGAAAATTTATGACTAAGGGGAGGATGTCATAGAAGTTTATAATATTGTGCATGGGGTGGAGAGAGTTGACAAAAGAAATTTTTCTCCCTCTCCCAAAAGACTAGAACTTGAGGGCATCCAATGAAGCTGATGGGCAGTAGGTTCAGGACAGACAAAAAGAAATACTACTTTACACAGAGAGTGATTGAAATGCGGGATTCACTGCCAGAGGATATAGTGATGGTCGCAGGCATAGAGAACTGTAAAAGAAGATTAGATAGATTTATAGAGGATAGGTTTATAGTGGCTACTAGCCATGGTGACTAAGGGGAAGCGCCACATTCAGAGGCACTAATCCTCTGAATCCCAGAGCCAGGAGGCAACGTCAGGGGAAGGCCTCAGCCTCTGTGCCCAACTGTTGGCCGTCCAGAGGAACTGGGTGGCCACCGCCTGAGGCAGGATGCTGGATGAGATGGACTATTGGCCTGATACAGCGTGGCTCTTCTTATGTTCTTATGACAACAAACTATGTCAGTAGATGAGGTCACTGCTGGAGGCCGAAGCCCTCTGTTGCACTGCCTCCCCCAGAACAAAGTGGGAGTCCAGTGGCACTTTTAAGACCAACAAGATTTTATTCAAAGTGACCTCTCATGTTGGATAAAACTTTGTTGCTATTACAGGTGCCACTGGCCTCACACTTTGTTCTGCTGCTTCAGACAAACACGGCTGCCCACCAGATTGTGCTTCCCATGGAATTCTTCCATGCAGACCCCTGCAGAGCACCAGCATGGTGTCGTGGTTAAGAGCGGCGGACTCTAATCTGGAGAACACCAAGTTTGATTCCCCACTCCTCCATGTGCAGCCTGCTGGGAGACCTTGGCCCAGTCACAGTTCTCTCAGAAAGCTCTCTCAGCCCCACCTGCCTGACAAGGTGCTGACTGTGGGGAGAGGAAGAGAAGGTGATTGTAAGCCACTCTGAGACTCCTTAGGGTAGAGAAAAGAAGGGTATAAAAACCAGCTCTTCTTCTTCTTGTAATCATTTCATTTGCCTGATCGGGGCTCCAAGTGCAGAAATTGCCAGCCCAAATGCCCAAGGACACAGCTAAGCCTCATGCAGGAGCCAGCCGGCAAGCCCACTTAATCGCTAAGAGGCCTTACTCGGAAGCCACAGTAGATATAGTTCAGATCCCTGGAAGGGTTCACAGAACATTCACAAAGTCATTCCCTGGAAAAATAAGCAGGAGTTTCGCAGCATCTTAAAGATGAACAAGGTTATTCGTCTTTAAGGGTGCCACATGACTCCTGTGTATTTTGGGTGCAACAGACTAACGTAGCTAATCCTCTGCAACAATCCCATGTCTCCTGGTAAACCTGAGATGGTTACGCCAACCTGGAGACCAGCCTAGTAGGCAGTGCAGAAGTGGCCCCTAGACAGCCACCCTCCAAGGGTTCAAAAGCTGGCTTAGGGAATCTTTGGTGCTGTCTGAAGAGCGTCAGAAGAGCTTCTCTTCATATCAGCTCCATCTCCCATCTCATCCCAGAGGCCTCTCTGTTGTTGGAGAAAAGCTCCTGCAAGCCTTTAGCGTTGTACATGTTAGCCACTACATTTTAACGACCACCATATCTGAACCTGCAGATAACTCACTTGAGTGGTAGTATGAGTCTGTGGCTGGATGCTGGGACTGTGTGACCACCGCCGGGTAGTAGGGTTTGGTCTCGTAGCTGCTGGCGGACGGGGAACGGCCGTATCCGTAGCCATCCTGCTTAAAGAAAACCCAACAGAACAACGCCAGGAATTAACCAGCTTCCCTGAAAGAAATATACTGGCATAGAATCTAGAGCCATCAGATTAGTTTTTGTTAGACAGAAGAGGTCCCTGGCTGGGGTTTAGTCAAGACGGATAACAGGCTACGGCTCCCAGGTTAAGCTGGGACCAATGCTCCCTCTGTGGTCTTGTAAGCAAAAATTCTACTTTGTGAGCTACTGGCATTAAAGTTGTGAGCAAGCGGTTTGGGTACTGCATAAATTAGTTTGCTCTGGAGCCATCCTTCCCGAGCTAGGACAAAAATGTGTGAGCCGGAGGCTAAAACACCGTGAGCTAGCTCACACTAAGCTTAGAGGGAACACTGGCTGGGAATACAGACGGGCAGAAAGAAGCATTTTCACATAAATAGGAGAGAGATTTCGGGGAGAGCCCCTCTGCAATTAATGGGACATACCCTTGAACAAATACAATTCCTGTTAACATCACTTCAAGCAACTCCTTGTGGAGTGGTGCAGAGTTTTGAGAGACTACCGGATGGAAGGAACAACTCGGCCAGTGTCTTGTTTCCCACCAATGGCTAACGGGAGAGTGACACAATCTTCCCAGCCCAGATCGAGTCCCCACCTAGCCAAGGTTCACTTCCAGCTGCGTGGGTGCCAGGTAAGTCATGCGGCTTCTCCCACCCGCTGCAGGCTCCCCACATAGCAGACCTGCCTGTAGTTAAGACAGATGGACCTCAAATGGTGGTCACCACGGATGGGATGGGCTCTCCTTTTAAGGACTTGTTAGCCTCATTTGACAGTGGACTCAAGTCTTGGGAAGCCCCCTGAAGGGTTGCAGCCACAAAGTCCACAAATAAAGGTACATCCACGCCACGGGAACCTTTCCTAGATCTTGATATGACGAATGAGCTGCACCCTTAACTGGACTGCTGCACCACTGTATGGCCTGGAGCTTCACCACCCCAAAGCACTTTTCAGCACGCTCAAAGTTTTACACTTGGCTCAGCCTCTTGAATAACCTGTACTAGAGGCATAATATGTATCCTTCTCCCTCCAGGTAATGGGGTTTTCAAATGGCAGCACACACTCATCCCTCAACAACTTGGAGGAAGGAAGGGATAAAAAAAAATCAAATAAATCTAAGTGGATGGCTTCTGCCAGTCTTAGAGGGCAGGTCATCCACAGATAAGGTCTACACCAGGGGTGTCAAACATGCAGCCCAGGGGCCGGATCAGGCCCCCGGAGGGCTTCTATCAGGTCCGCAGTGGAACTGGCTGTCTTCTGCTTCTTCTTCCAGTTCCGCCGCGTCATCGTAGGTTTGCAGCTTACAGATATACACCTGAACAGCATACTCAAGATTGCAACAGCAGACATTTTGATGCAATAATTCAGAGCAAGAGGTGTCAGTTATCGGACACTATTAAATAAATAAAATATTGCAAGAGTGCTAATGTTTTAAGCATGATATTATTTTAAGTTAAAAAAAACCCTTTGTGTTTGTGTCCTTTATAAAGTTTATATCTCTGCTACCTGGCATTACATTTTCTGACACACACTGCCTGGCCCAACAAGGTCTCATTTATGTCAGATCCGGCCCTCATAACAAATGAGTTTGACACCCCTGGTCAACACAGTTGGGGGAATCTCCGGGCATATGGGGGAGAAAATGACTGCACGTTGACCAGAACAAATCAGTACGCTATTTTACAGTCTCCTGATGCGTGGCTGGATTAAGTTAGCCTTCTGAACAAAACTAAAAACCCAGTGGGTGCTAGTTAGTTACCTGATAGTTCTGTGCTGCAGCAGGCTGAGGGGCGGGCTCTGGCTGCCGTGCCCCATAGCCATAGTCCTGTGTGGCGTGGGCCTGATAGCCTCCGTATGCTGCTGAAGCCATGGGCCTGGCAGCCTGCACAGCTGGAGCATAGGTGGGCGCCACGGTGTGGTCCACTCCTGGTGTCTGCTGGACTGTGTAGCTCGCTACGGTGGGCGGGTGGGTATAAGCTGGAGCAGGCTGGGCACTGGAAGGGAAGAGGAGCAGAGAGTGAGAAAGATGGTCCAGCTACAGAGCTGAAAGTAGCCTGATCCAGATAGTTTAATTATAATAATCGAAAAAGGCCATGCGGTCTAAAACATAGAATGCCTCTAACCAACGTAGACTTAATGGGACATTTAAGGGGCTGGTTTAGATGTTATGACCCACAGTACAATCTCAACAGCCGAGGGCAGTCAGGAACATACCACACGATCCCTTCTCGCTTGTGCCCATTCTTCACCTCCTGGTTTACAGTAACCACCCCCTTGCGCCAAAGTGGCCTTAAAAAATGTCCATATTTCTGGTTCAAAGCCAAACTACCACTCAGTGTAAGCACAGTGTGCCCCATATGGGTGCCACAAGCAACTATGGTTAACATGAACCAGGAAGTGGAGAAGCAAACTGATAAATGTAGGGACAGAAGTAAACATGGTTCCATTCATGATGGTTAACATGAACCAGGAAGTGGAGAAGCAAACTGATAAATGTAGGGACAGAAGTAAACATGGTTCCATTCATGATGGTTAACATGAACCAGGAAGTGGAGAAGCAAACTGATAAATGTAGGGACAGAAGTAAACATGGTTCCATTCATGATGGTTAACATGAACCAGGAAGTGGAGAAGCAAACTGATAAATGTAGGGACAGAAGTAAACACGGTTCCGTTCATGATGGTTAACATGAACCAGGAAGTGGAGAAGCAAACTGACAAATGTAGGAACAGAAGTAAACACAGTTCTGTTCAGGGGTCTACAAACCGCACCTGGTCTTTGCTAGCTAACCATTCTCTACCATGGAAGCTTGCTGGGTGACCTTGAGCGAGTCACACACTCTCAGCCCAACCCACCTTGCAGGGTTGTTGCGAGGATAAAATGGAGGAGGGGAGAACTATGCAAGCTGCTCTGGGGGTCCACACTGGCGAGAAATGTGGGGTATAAATGAAGTCAATGGATAAAATAAATCTCTCATTGCCATCTACAAAGTAAAGTTCCACCACTCTTTTACCCGCAATTTGTGACACGCAAACTGTGGGTCACAAGGGAGGGAGAAGAACAGAATGACTTGGGAAAGTAACGTGAAGTTGATTTACAAATGGGTCCCGGAAGCACGGCAAGTTTGGAAGTGGACTGAACTAGGACCCAGATCTGAATCCACACTCAGCCATGGATCTCACTGGGTAATCTTGAGCCAGTGCCAGTCATACTCACTCAGCTTTAACCTACTTCACAAGATTGTTGTGAGGATAAAAAGGAAGAGGACAGGCCACCTATACCATCCAGAGCTCCCTAATAAAAAGGTAGGATAAACACGCGATAGATGAAAAAAGCCATGGAATAAGCCTTGCCCTGGATAGCCCAGGCGAGCCCAAATCTTGTCAGATCTCGGAAGCTAAGCAGGGCCGACTCTGGCAAGGACTTGGGTGGGAGACCTCCTTGGAACACCAGCAGTTGGGAGGCAGGGGCAGGCCCTTTTCAGCCACCTCCCTGAATATCCTCCAGGCCCCCAGTAGGGGTCAGCCACCAGAGGTCGCCGTGACTTCCAGGGGCATGCACACGCACACACATGCACATATTTTGAAAATGGGGGGGGGGAGCCATGGAATGACAGGGCCATGGAATGAATGGGAGGTTTTGCCGTACCCACTGATAAGCAGGAGTTCCTGTCTCAGGAAGATGACTCCATAAAAAGGCAAGAAGAGTGTAGTGAAAATAGCAGGTTGAGAAAGAAGTACTTTTCTCCCTTTCTCGTGGGCACTCCATGAAATTGCTGAACAGTCGGGTTAGAACGGATAAAAGGGAGTCCTTCTTCACCCAAAGAGTAATTGACACATGGAATTCACTGGCCCAGGAGGTGGCAGCAGCTACAAGCATGGACAGCTTCAAGAGGGAATTGGATAAACATATGGAGCAGAGGTCCACCAGTGGCTATTAACCATAAAATATAGATAGAGACTCTCATGCTGGGGCAAGTGATGCTCTATATTCTTGGTGATTGGGGGGGGGCAACAGTGGGAGGGCTTCTAATGTCCTGGCCCCACTGGTGGACCTCCTGATGGCACCTGGTATTTTTGGCCACTGTGTGAACTGATAAGCAGGAGTTCCTGTCTCAGGAAGATGACTCCATAAAAAGGCAAGAAGAGTGTAGTGAAAATAGCAGGTTGAGAAAGAAGTACTTTTCTCCCTTTCTCGTGGGCACTCCATGAAATTGCTGAACAGTCGGGTTAGAACGGATAAAAGGGAGTCCTTCTTCACCCAAAGAGTAATTGACACATGGAATTCACTGCCCCAGGAGGTGGCAGCAGCTACAAGCATGGACAGCTTCAAGAGGGAATTGGATAAACATATGGAGCAGAGGTCCACCAGTGGCTATTAACCATAAAATATAGATAGAGACTCTCATGCTGGGGCAAGTGATGCTCTATATTCTTGGTGGATTGGGGGGGGGCAACAGTGGGAGGGCTTCTAATGTCCTGGCCCCACTGGTGGACCTCCTGATGGCACCTGGTATTTTTGGCCACTGTGTGTTGGACTGGATGGGCCATTGGCGTGATCCAACATTGGCTTCTCTTACGTTCTTGTGAAAAGAGAACTGAGGCAGCTGCTTGTTCATGTGACCACAACAACATGGTTGCTGGTTGAATTGCACCGACACGCTTACAAGCTACTGCCAGTGGGTATACTTTGTGTGCTTCTCTACAAAGGTGAAAGACAGAGAAACAGACTGGGGGGGGGTTATCTCTGTGGGGATTTGTCCAAAGTCTTCAATTCACAGGAAGGGACCTGGGGCCAGTTTGCTTCTGTGGAGTCCTCTTTGCAACCTGGACTTCCTTTTCAAAAATGAAATTAGCACCTCATGAGAACCTGGTCAGGATCATTTGCTGGGGGGGGGCAGCTCGCGTTGTAAAGGGCTCCACTTGTTGGGGCTGGGCGGGTGACATGAGCCACCCCAGCATCCCCCGTCCTTTGGAAAGCAAGTGGGACCCTTTGAACGGGGAGCGAGCGAGACAGGGAGGCCAATTCATGGCGACAGAACGGGCTGTTCTCGGATTAGCAGGGCGCTGCCAAATCTCTGACACAGGCCGGGACAAAAGTGGCGAGTGTGCAAACGCCAAACAGGCCAGGAATCCCCAGCTTCCTGTTTCAAACAGCAGCCCTCCCCCTTTCCAAATATCGTCCTGTTTACAGGAAGAACGGTAGCGAAATCCAGGTGCCCCAAGAACTCTCCTGTATCAGCTTGCTTTGTGAACTGCCAGCCCTTTCTTAAACTGGTGGACAAAACCTATTAAGTAAGAATCTCCAAACAGTTCAAGACGGGTCGCCGTGTTTGTCTGTCGCAGGAGAAAAGAGCATCTCCAAACGGTTGACAGATAACAAAGTCAGAACTACTAGGAGAGTGACTTTGTGGGATCACTCCCAAGCTCTGCCTAGGCTATCGTCCTGCTAGCTGGATCCAACCAGGAAGTTCACAAGCAAAGCGTGAAGGCAACAGCCTCCTCCTACAGGTATTCCCCACACCAGCATCTGGTGATCAGAGGTTAACCGACTTTGAACATGGAGCTTCCATTTAGAAGCATAGAATCACAGAATTGGAAGGGGCCATACAGGACATCTAACCCAACCCCCTGCTCAATGCAGGATGGGCCTAGGCCAGTGACGCCGAACCGTTTAGAGACCGAGTGCCCAAACTGTGACCCAAAACCCACTTATTTATCACAAAATGCCAACACGGCAATTTAACCTGAATACTGAGGTTTTACTTTAGAAAAAACAACTCATACATTAACTTAAGATGATCCAAACAAAGTAAGGAAAGCAATCCCAAATGCTTTCATTTACTTAAAATTATCTGATCCAAACAAAGTAAGGAAAGCAATCCCAAATGCTTTCATTTACTTAAAATTATCTGGCAGAGAATTCCACACTTTAATGACGGTCTGGGCCTGGCTGGGGCGATGGCACGTGTGCCCACAGAGAGGGCACTGAGTGCCACCTCTGGCACCCGTGCCATAGGTTCGTCACCACTGGCCTAGAGCATCCCTGACAAGTGTTTGTCCAGCCACTGCTTCAAGACTGCCAGTGAGGGGGACCTCACCACCTCCCAAGGCAGTCGATTTCCCCTGTTGCACAACTCTTACTGTAAAAGAGTTCTTCCTAAAATCCAGCCGGTACCTCTCCACCCTTAATTTAAACCCATTCTCGCGAGTCCTCTCCTCTGCTGCCAACAGGAACAGCTGCCTGCCCTCCTCCAAGTGACAGCCCTTCAGATACTTCAAGAGATCCCCCCCTCAACCTCCTCTCAACATCATAACAGACATTAATAGACCTTTCCTCCTCCAGGAATTTACCTAATCCCTTTATATTATTTCTTTATTTTTCAAATTTATATTCCGCCTCCCCTGCAAACAGGCTCAGGGCAGATCACAACACCATCTGAGATAGTAACTACATCTTGTGGCCAATGCTCCCTCTAAGCTGCAGAGTCTTGTGAGCAAAAATTCTACTTTGTGAGCTACTGGCATTAAAGTTGTGAGCGAGCCATTTGGCTGCTGCATAAATTAGTTTGCTCTGGAGCCATCCTTCCTGAGCGAAGACAAAAATGGGTGAGCCGGAGGCTAAAAAACTGTGAGCTAGCTCACACCAACTCAGCTTAGAGGGAACACTGCTTGTGGCAATGAATCCCATAAGTTAATTATGTACTGTAGACGCACTTTCTTTCGTTTATCCTGAAATCATCTGTTCTATTTCAACTCTTTCTTCGTAGGTAAAAAGTACTCTCCAATCTTTGTTTGTTTTTGGGCTGGCTGAAGATTTAAGTTGACTGTTGTTTGTGGCGGGCAAATGCCATGGGGTGACTGGGTCCTGATCTTTATTGCCTTCGCTTGAACACAATAAATCTGCAATCCCCACGCTTTCACCTTCAGTCCAAACAAAGCTCATGTTCAGTACGGCCCTATTTCAACAGGTGACCTCTGCCATTAGGAAGGA